TGGCATCAAGCAAATGAAGATGTTTTTACATGGGGCAATGCAGGTGTTCAATGTTGTGCAATGGTGTTGGCAAATATTGTAAGAGTCGCTATACTGCCACCAAGCATGGACCACAAACACATTGAACGTGAACTTGATAGCGGGTCATGAAATGTATGAAACCATTCCATTGGCCAAATTTGACAATCTAGGATATCCAATGACAGCAAATGGATCTCTGCAAGTCAAACATTTTGATGTCATAAGAAACGACTTCATTATGTTCAACAACTACTCGTTGGAAGTCTACAGGACTCGGTCAATGAAGGCGATTCACAAGGAATCACTTTGGGCGATGCATTTAATGATTTGTTCACAAATCATCAGGCTGGCGTACTAATAACAGGATCCAAATCACTAGGAATTATGCATTACGATAACAAATACTACTTCACTGATTCACATTCATGTGGTCAGAAAGGTGCACCGGCAGGCAATGGCAGAGCATGCATAATTGAGTGTCAAACAATTTAAGAACTAAAACGAATCTGCAGACGATCAACAGGATCAAGAAATGTTCATTTCACCATCAACTTAATCGAAGTTAATAAAAAAAATATTACATTGCCGATCCAGGAATGCGAAAAGAAGATTCCTCAGCACGTCTGCGATCGGCAATGAAAGAAAATATGGCAGCACAAGTTGAATCGATGCCTGTACAAACATCAGTCATGGCTTCGATAGATTGTGATCAGCCAAATGTGGAAGATGAATACGAAGTCTCTGATAATACTCACGAAATAAGGCGTAAAACAACCAACAACATTCTCAACGAAGCACATTAATTCAAAGCTGAAGAGTTTGCATTGTTCTACCTCTTCCCAAAATAAATCAATGGACTCAAAGAAGTAAGACCTATCAGAATCACTCCATTGGGCTAATTTCAATTCAGAATTCTGCGTAGTGATACACGATTTCAACGCAACGACTACCTCTTCTTCGCATGATCAATGTTCGCGTTTTATCGCATCCAATCTAACATCTCACCTTGTGGAAAGAAGGTTCAAGGACAAGATTCTAGAGTAGAAGATCTTTACCTCTACCTTAACCTTCGAGGATCAGCTACATATTGGCAAACAATGCTGAATGAATTAATCGGACAAATACGTTCAGTAGGACCACCAACATACTTCGCGACATTCACTCCAACCATCAAGAAGGATCCTGTTAAGGAGCCTTTCAAGACCATCACCTTACCCTACATTGCTGGGGTCACAAAAAAGATCTCCAAAATCCTGATTAAACACAAGATCCGATTCAACACAGTACATAAAATCCGTGATCTGGTCCCGTCTGTAAAAGATGTGGTTCCAGACATACAGTACCCTGGCATCTACAAACTAAGTTGCCTCTGTGGTAGCAGTTACATTGGAGAAACCAAACGACATGTCTCGGACCGCATCCGTGAACATAAAGCAGACCTGAAACACGGTAGGACAAACACCTCAGCCGTGGCAGATCACTGTTACAACTCAGTGGGCTCACATGACATTGACTTCTCCAAGACAGAGGTTCTCTGCAAGCCATCTGGCTATCATGAGAGATTCGTTCATGAGGCGATCCAAATATACAAACACAGAGACAATTTCAACCGAGAAGATGGAGTCTGGCTTAGCAATCATTGGAAGGACGTAATAAACCATTTCGGATCTTAACTGATTGTGTTCACGTTTACGGTGACTTTCAGACCGCGTTCCACTCACTGGCATTGTATTCTCCGCAGGGAATGGATTCTTTGCTCCGCTGCAAGTTTTCCCACCACGACTCACCCATTGACACGACGGTCAATGGTACAGTGTATAATAACAAATAGTATAACATTTATATACTTAATACAATGTACAAAGTAATATATAGTATCGTAATTGTATAGTAAACATATAGCAGTGTGATACACATTATGGTGGGTAGAATAATACATAGTGTTATATTAAAATGTGGTTTATAGCAATACAGTATGTAATTTAATGTTGGGTTTGTCTATGGCAGTATATAGTACGGTGTAGACTCGTGTGATGTAAGAGAATAAAGTTTAGATGGAAGCATATTATATCATTTTTACGACGTAGAATTGTAATGTATTACTTACTGTTAGTAACTCAGCTTATTGTAGAGTATAGTAAGTATACTGATGATGCTATGTAGTTTATACTTTAGTTGTTTATGTAGTTTCTATTTTAGTTTTTTACGTGGTTGTTTAGTAACTGCAGCTACATACTATTACCATTCCTTTCCTTTGTTAATGCTACCCCCCTTCCCCCTCCCTTTGATGCTGCTAAACCTGCATAATGCACCGGCATAATATTAATTTGAACCCCCCCCGCCCACCTCCTACGCATTTTCCATATGCTAAATTCCTCTTGATATGCAAATTATTTTGTCAAGGCGCTCTTCTTCCCACCTCCCCCCCTCCAACCCAGCTTAAATATACGCCCCAAGCTTGGTGGTGTTTCAGTCTTCACCTGAGGACGGCTGCCTGCGTTGTGGCCGAAACGTCGTGAGAATTATTTTATTATATTTATGTTTTATTTTTATTATTTTATTACTTCCCTTATACGTGACTTTACCGAAAGAACCAAGAAGATTCAGTTGCAATGATTTGATTTGCCTTGATATGCGCAATTCACTCGTAGTAGCTGATGAAAGACCCGATGAAGATCCAAATGAACTCAACATATATGCCACACAACGATTGATCGAACAGTATCCTGTCATAGTCACTCGACACTTCATTATTCGATTGAATGCACTTATGAAATTCTTGACAAATAATCATGAAGTGTTTGGTCAATTGAAGGATTACTGCTGGCGAATAGAGTTCCAAAATCGTGCAAGTCCACATTTGCACATGCTGGTGTGGATATAAGATCATCCCTAATTCAATATACCTTAGGGAATCAATAAAGTGTGCACAGCAAAAAAAGTCTGACGGGAGTTCTGAGCTATATGAGCTCGTTAAAAATTGTCAGGTTCACCATCATACAAACAATCTTTTTTCTCTAACCCCTCCCTCTCTCTGCCTCCGCCCCCCTCTGTCTATTTAAGGCCACCCCACAGAGACGATCACCCCTCTCTGTACCTGTGTTGCTCTCTCTATGTATCTTGGTGATATCTGTCTGCTTATATGTCTGTCTATAGTTTTCTGGTTAGAATTTATGTCGCTATTTCATTATACCTGACGAGGATTGCTTGTGTTGCAATCGAAACGTCGTATGCTATTATTTAATTTATTATTTTATCTTTATACGTGACTTTACCGAAAGAACCAAAGAATCATACAAACACATGCAAGAAGAATGATGAGGACTCATCAATAGCGTGTTGCTTTAAATTTCCACAAGTTTGTGATGACACCCGCATCGTCTCTGAAACATCTAATAACTTCATTACATTTTAAAATTCATTTAATTTTATAACTTTTCAAGACCGAATAAATACATGTTCCTGGCAGAGCAGTGCTACTGCGTTACGCACCGGGAGTTGCTGGCGATAGATCACTTCGTCCAGCAATACCGTCCCTACCTCTATGAACGCAAGTTCGAGGTGCGCTCCAATCACGCGGCTCTGCAGTACGCTCTGCGTGTTGAACAGACGTCAGGTCAGCTTTCCCGTTGGCTTAAAGTCCTTCAGGACCACGTGTTCGTAGTTTCCTACAGGAAGGGCGTTAGGCACATGAACGCTGATGCACTGTCACGATTGCCACCGAGTGACCAGTGCGCGTGCATGTCGGGTGCGGGACGATGCAAGCCTGCTGATATAGTACCGCCCCGGTACTGTAGCTGACGCGGCATAAACCGACACGGCTGATATGCAGGATCACACGCTCGGTCTCACCAACACCGAGTGGAGGCGTATCCAGGTAGAGGACGCCTCTCTTCTCTCAATCAGATGCCGTGTTAAGGATTCCGAGGATAGCGGGAACTGACGGGTCTTATCCACGATGATCCTCCGGGAGGGCCTAACAATGAAATGAGATGGGGAACTGCAAAAACAGTGGTCGTTCCCACCATTTTGCGGGGTAAATAGATCTGGGCGACACACGAACTGGTTGATGGACCTCTTGTCCACTATTCGCCTCAACTTTTTCTGGCCCAGCATCGCAGGAGATGTGCAAAATGTGCTGAGGGGATGTAGTGAATGCGCTCACCGAAAGCCGTCACCAAAAATGGCTTGTCCCCCGTTGCAATCGATTTCAGTGTCCTGGATGAATGAGCTCGTCGCTCTCGACGTGCTCGGCCCCTTTCCCACGACATCTAAACTTTATTCTCTTACATCACACGAGTCTACACCGTACTATATACTGCCATAGACAAACCCAACATTAAATTACATACTGTATTGCTATAAACCACCTTATCCATTGTAATATTACACTGTATTATTCTACCCACCCTAATGTATATCACACTGCTGTATATTAACTATAAAATTACGATACTATGTATTACTTTGTACATTGTATTAAGCATATACATTTCTGTTAACCATTTGTTATTATACACTGTACATAGTGTGGTTCATAGCAATACAGTACGTAAGTTCATGTTTGGGTTTGTCTATGGCAATATATAGTATGGTGTAGACTCGTGTGATGTAAGAAAATAAAGTTTAGATGGAAGCATATTATATTTTTTATGACGTAGAATTGTAATTTATTATTTACTGTTAGTAACTCAGCTTATTGTAGAGTATATTTAGTATAATGATGATACTATGTAGTTTATACTTTAGTTTTCGATTTAAAGCTTTCGTGACTGCAGGGATCCATCTTCTTGGTTCTTTCGGTAAAGTCACGTAGAAGGGAAGCAATAAAATAATAAAAATAAAACATAATAAAATAAAATAATATAATAATATAATAATTATTTTATTACTATTTTATTTTATTATTTTTATTATTTTATTGCTTCCCTTCTACATGACTTTACCGAAAGAACCAAGAAGATATACTTTAGTTGTTTACGTGGTGGTTTTAGTTACTGCAGCTACATACTATTAACACTTCCTCCCTTTATTAATGCTACCCCTATCCCCTCCCTGTGATGATGCTAATCCTGCATAATGCACGGACACAAGTAGTACTAATCACATACCTGCATTTCCCATGGGTATGCTGGATTCCTCTTGATATGCAAATTCTTTTGTCAAGGCGCCCTCTTTCCCCCACCCCCCTTCCAACCCAGCTTATATATATGCTCCAAGCACGTGTGCTGTTTCATTCAGACGCTGTCGCCTCGACAGACCTGGTTTCACCTGAGGACGGCTACTTGCGTTGTGGCCGAAACGTCGTGAGAATTATTTTATTGTTTTATTTTTATTATTTTATTATTTTCCTTCTACGTGACTTTACCGAAAGAACCAAGAAGATGAATCCCTGCAGTCACGAAAGCTTTAAATCGAAATTTAAATTGATATTCACAGAATATAGGCGAGGCTTTCCTGGGTAAACATACGTAACAAAAGTGTTAATTGTCAGGCCTGCCTGCCTGCCTGCTGAACTTGTTTTAATATCTTTGCGTCTGATATAATTCATCTTAATCTGACCTGCTGGCTGGACAAATACACGTGACATGAAGTGCACTATAAAGTATGGAGAACACAAGACCATGGAAGTGCACAAACTAGTCCAGAGCCCAAATATGAAGTAGCAACCGAGGCAAACGGCGATAAAGAAATCAAAAAAAAGATGGACATAGTATTGCAGTGATTTGTTTAAGGGGATGGATGAGCTCGAAAAATATCCCCACCACCAAGAGATGATGCTCCCTGGATCTGCCTGAGCTGTACCTTAACTCAAACCCAGTTCATCTCATCTCTTGATTGGTGCTTCAGTATTAACCACCACACCTGCCCGTCTTGGCTTGTGATAAGTTTGCTGTGCTCTACAACCAGCTTGTCTAAGTTAAGCTCATCTCATCACATAATTAGCATGACAGGATTACCACCTGCATGTTCTGGCTCATGACTAGCCCGCACCCAGCTTGCCCTAGCTGAAGCTCAGCCTATTTCGTCGTCCTGTTGATGCGGCAGTATTACTATTACTGCCTGTCCAACTAGCCACTGCACATGCTCATCTCGTCCCATCACGTGGCCACTGGTTTGTGCCCAGTCCATCCAGACGCTGTTTGTCTCATCATCTGGGCATCTGGTGTATGAACCTGGTTAAGGCATCGCACCTCAAGCAAATAGCGGTTTCCACCCCTTGTGTCTGGAATCTTGCCTCTGGTGATTTAGTTCATGACCAAGTCACCACTGGAGCCGAGTGGACTTGCCGATGACTGGTTCAAGAGGTGTCAAGATGAGCTCCTACGGAGGAGGTTCATGAATGGACGCTCCTTGACATTTAAGAGGCAGTCACCCTCCAGCAACAAAGGGCAGAGAAGCAACGCTCACAATAACAAGCGGAGAGCAGGGCAGATAAAAAGCACCGCTGTGGCACAGTGGGGAGCACAGGTGGGGTGAGTCTGCCAGTCATCTCAGTCAATCCATGGCACCTGGGTCTGTTACGTGATCTGCCAGAGGGCCTTTCACATTTCACGTGGCCTTAAAAGTGCACCTAGCATGGAACATAAACTGGAGAAATGCCATGTGTAGCCGGCCCACCCTGTCCTCCCGTGAATCGTAACGAGGGGATAATGCGGCCAAATAAACAACAATGAAGCTCAGAGAGGATGAGCAGATACTCTGCATTGTTTTCTGTCCTCCTGAGAACTGGGTGATTCCACTACAGATGGGCACCAGAGGTTTGTTAAACGGAAATGCTTTATTTCAAAGTGTTCTTCCGAGGAGCATTTGCATATCTGCAATCATGACCAAACATATCCCTATCACCTTCCACGTCACACAACACCTCAGAGCAGTCCCTCAGCACATAATCTACCGCAAATATAAATTATAAGCCGCTTTTAAAATCCTATAACATTTAACATCTTATTTAACTATAAAAATTTAAATATTCCACATCAAACATATGCCTACAGATTTGGAGTGCCTCCTAAATGTGCTACATTCCATAACAATATTGCATTAATGAAACAATACATACTTATATTAATAAAGCAATAATACGTAAAATTATAGTAATATGTACATTTGGGTTATTTAACTGACAATAACCATGAAAGCTTTGTTTTGAATTGAGACTGGAACCTCTGCCAAAACACCTATTCTGCTCGCCCTATTAACTCAATGTCAGGCTAAATCCGTATGCCGGCCATTTTGTGCATTTTAAATGCACAACAATTATACTAAATGTAATCAACTATCACAAAACAACTTTAATTTTCATCATCAAATCATTCTAATTGTCTTCCTATTATGTTATATCTATTGATTCCAGTTGGTTATCAAAATAAGCAAGTTATTAACACCTGTAAATATAATGAAAAAACCCATCACCAAAAGGGCGACGCCAGCCTGTTATGAAAGCCCGGCGTTCCGTTTGCCAACTAAGTTGAGCGTGATAATTGTTTTTTTACTCTTTTATCTGGCAACAAAACTGACACTTTTCTTACAAGGAGTCATGTTTGCATTGACCACAATACCTGCGGTCGGAATGCAAAAAAAACACAACTCTGATCATGTATGCACTGTCCTTGAAATTGATTGGTCCACACCCGAGAGTCTAGTCTCACATGGTGTTGGACCAGATGACGCCAAAAGGCGCACTTTGTGTTTTTTTGTTTGCATTCTGACCGCAGGTATTGTGGTCAATGCAAACACGACTCCTTGTAAAACAGTAAATGTGTCAGTTTTGTTGCCAGATAAAAGGGTAAAAAACTAATTATCATATTTTCCTACTGGCAAAGGAGGTTCCAATGGTGTAAGTTGAGCGTCTTTCAGAAGGCCCTGAATCAAAAAGTGAAAGAAAGTGGAGCCCTGCCTCCACCCCCAGTGGGGGAAAAAGGTTGATACAACCGGTTTACAAAAATTGTCGACACACCCTCCCACCCCACTTCGCGCGTGAAGAGCACACAAGTGTTGCAATCACATCGACCCCTCTAAGGAAAGAAACAGGTGGACTTCTCCACAAATCTGGCTGTCGCCTGATGAAGATAGTTGTAATTAATGGCAAAACATCGTACTCCGTCAACGTTATGGCTTGGCTGTCCAACATTTTGCTGTACTCGTCACGAATTGGCATGTTCTGTTTACGTGACAAACCTTACTAATTGGCAGTGTCGGTTGGTGGCTCGTTTAACGACATCTATTTACGCGATCTAACCCAAAAAAACTGTATTATGGATATTGGTTGCGAAAGGCTGTGTTAAATTCAGTAGTATCTGCACACATGGGGGGGGGGGGAAGAAGAGGACATCAGTGGGGGCAATGGGCAAGACGCCAAGCACCGAGAAGCCCTCCGTAGGCGCTAGAGTAAGGCAGCCTTAGGTCGGAGAAATTCTAATATTAAACTTCACGCTATAAAACGGCAAACACAATATAACTGGAAAAAAGTTAACGTATCATACCTGTAATCATTACCAAACACAAACCTATCACCCTCCGTCACACAGTACCTCTTGATGGGATTTAGCACCAGTGTTCATTTTCTACACCCAATTATAACCAACTTATATATTGAAATATTACTGGTAGGAACCTCCTGGTTACACAAGGCCACAGGGGATTATTGTGTCCGTCCGTCGTGCAGGGAGGGGCTGGGTGGGGAGAGGCTGGGTAGGGGGTGGGAGGGATTGGGCTGGGTGGGGAGGGGCTGGTCACCCCGTGGTGCCCTTATAAAACAACATTTAACCTACTCACGCTAGCTTGTGCCCGCCCTCACAGTCGGGCATATTTGCGGAATACACCATGCCGCCGTTGACCCTGGCCATTGACCGAGCAACCCAACGTTCCTACCAGCTCCCTTAGCAGGAATGTGTTTAATATCAACGTCTTAATTGTGAATATCTTCACCACCAATAACTCAATCAACAGTCAAACAGTACCTAGTAAATGTCTTTGGATTAACATTGAAATATTAATTTAAGTTATATTTGATTTACTATTTTAATAATGTAATCTCACCAGTCCACCTCAAATCTAAAATGGGGGTGTTCCCTGTACTTTGAATAGTCTACAGAGTTGGGCATGGCATGCTCTAAACATTACCTCCACGTATAAAAAATACACCAACACCTGGCTCTACGTAGCAATTACAGCAACATTGCAGTGCACAATTACAGGTGAGATTAATCACAGGTAAGCTCACACCAGCTACAGCAACTGCATGGCACACAACACGCCTTACTGCAAGTGGCATGCAGCGTCAAGATGCGGAACTTTACTCTCATTCGACACCTTTCGACTGCAACTCACGACTGAGTGCAATGATACATTGCGTGCGATTGGTCAAGTGAAAAGCCGAAGCCGGCTTCTGACACTATGCACTGCACACATAATATACATCACCATACAAACACACATTTCACCACACATCACAAAATTTACCACGAACTATTCACTGTGCACTTGACGCTACACTGCACTATAAACCACAACTACACTATGCAAGGTGCATACATAACCATCAGGTGGGATTACAGTAGACTTTCAGACCCCTGCTGTTACCATCATATAAAATGAAAAAAAGTAATACCAGGCTAAGACCAATTAAATGAAACCCAAAGGGATTAAAAGCGAAACTGCAGAAAGTAGGCCTGCCATTTAATTATTTTGATATCATGAACATATATTTAGTGTATGAAACCAAAAGTAAATATTAAAAAAATGGTTACCTTTTCTTTTATTAAAGGGCAGTTAAAAAGCAATAAAAAACAGACTGGGAGCATGCAGAAAAGCACGGCCACACCAGACAGCCACTTTAATAGTAATGCAAACAGTTATAATTAATACTTATTCATTTAATACGTAACCATTAAAATGCATTCCTAATTCGTGTTTTATAAGGCAGCATAATGCTTTGCATATCGACTATTTCACTTCGACACTCAATAACTTTATCTGTACAGAAAGCCCATCTATGCTTGGATGACACCTACACCCCTATGCATTCTTGAAATTATAGAATCCTGTGAATAAGGCGAATGCTATGGGAAATCGTCTCCAACTCCAGGTTATACATCTTCCAAGGTGCCATTTCACACGTGCCGTCCCCTCCTACTCAGCTTTGTCCAAAAACTCCACCCACACCTCCACATCCACAAACTGCTGGGGATTGCCTCTCTCTCCCTCGGAATCAGAATGCTCCTCCTGCTTCACGCTGCCTCCATCCACTTGTAGATTGGGTCCTGGAGTCGAATCTTGATATTCACATTTCACTGTCACTTCTTCACATTTCACTTCTTCACATTTCACTGTCACTCCTGGCCATGTTGCCAAGTTGGAATTTTCTTCTGATTCGTGTTTCATGAGAGATGGGCTCATTGCAGCATGTTGATTTTCACAAGTCGATTTCACTTTCTCCTTGTGGATCTTCTCATGCCTCTTTAAGTTTCCTGATAATGTAAATTCCTTCCCACAGAGAGTGCACTTGAAAGGATTCTTACCTGAATGTGTTGTCTTATGTTTCTTAAGAGATTTTGAATGAGCCAATGCCTTCCCATACATCAAGCACTTGTATGACTTATGCACTTGGTGTGTTCTCTGATGAACACGAAAAGTTTTTGAATGAGCAAATTCCTTCCCACACACAATGCACTTAAAGGGCTTCTCGCCCGTATGTGTTCTATTATGTTTCTTAAGATATGCTGACTCTGCAAATGCCTTACCACATACACTGCACTTGAAGGGCTTCTCGCCTGTGTGTGTTCTCTGATGAATTTTAAGAGTTTTTGAATGAGCAAATGACTTCCCACACACAGTGCACTTGAAGGGCTTCTCACCGGTGTGTCTTCGCTGATGAACACGAAGAATGTTTGAATGTGCAAATGCCTTCCCACACACAGTGCACTTGAAGGGCTTCTCACCGGTGTGTGTTCTCTGATGATTATGAAGAGTTACTGAACGAGCAAATGCCTTCCCACACACAGTGCACTTGAAGGGCTTTTCACCGGTGTGTGTTCGCCGATGAACACGAAGAATGTTTGAATGTGCAAATGCCTTCCCACAAACAGTGCACTTGAAGGGCTTCTCACCGGTGTGTGTTCTCTGATGAATATGAAGAGTTTGTGAACGAGCAAATGTCTTGCCACACACAGTGCACTTGAAGGGCTTCTCGCCCGTGTGTGTTGTATTATGTTTCTTAAGATATTCTGACTCTGAAAATGCCTTACCACATACACTGCACTTGAAGGGCTTCTCGCCTGTGTGTGTTCTCTGATGAATTTTAAGAGTTTTTGATTGAGCAAATGACTTCCCACACACACTGCACTTAAAGGGCTTCTCGCCAGTGTGTTTTGTCTGATGTCTCTTCAAGTTACACATCTCATCTGTGCTGTATGGACACTGGATGCATTGGTGTCTTTTACTTCCAGCTGAGCCTCTCTTCTCCATGTGATTGATTCTGCAGATACATACATATTACACACAATATACAGGCAGACCTTGCTTAGTGCGACCCATAGAGTGCCGATTTGTTACAGCGCTCTTTGTCCTGGATATTTTTGTTCTTAATTTTGTTTAGTTTACAAAGTGCTCACGAGTAAGAACACGCAGCAGCGCAAGAAAACGAAGAGCGACGCATGCTCCAAGCCAAACAGACCCCACCCCTCACGATTTAATTATCACGATTCGTGGTCATGATTATGTTTAAAAAATGACTTGTTTAGCCAGTTGAGAACTCACACGACCAGGATAGAGTTTCAGTCACCACCTAAAAAAAAACCTCGCCACACAAATTTAGATTGAGGGATTCACTAAGATCAGGGAGGTCCTGAAGCATTTCTCTTAGAACGACCCGGACTGGAAGCGCAGCAGCTCCTTCAACCTTGTCTTCCTCCACTGACTTGTAAGATTAGTAAAGTAGAATGCACTCGTAAGCAAAGTACATAATACTGATGTTATAAAACATTATTTTTACTAAATGTTTAGCATCTGTATTATTAGCGCTATTACGGGTACCCAAATGAAGCCCTCATTATTCATACTAAATATACAACATTGTCAGGAACGAATCCCTATGGAGTATACAATGGATTTATGATGACCCCTTGTAGCGCTGATCGATTGGCACTTAATTCTCCAGGAACAACGCATCTGGAGGAGCGCTAAGCGAGCTTTGGGTGTAAAGGGCACACACACCGACTGTGGAAGCCACTGGTCAGTCTGCCTCCTCTCTTTTTGACAAGGCAGGTTTTGCCCACTCACTGTTCAAGCAGGCTAGACCCACTGCCGTGCAAACGTCACCAATCCAGCATTCCAGGTTCACCACTCTGGTCAAATGAAGCTGTCACCCTGATTAGTAAGAGAGTCGATAGATATAATTAAGTCCGTCTTGAAAACTCAACTCTTTAAACTGTCTTTGTGTGTGTGGGCGAGTGTGTGTGGGTGGGTGAGTGTACCGATTAGCGCGCTGTGCTATGAACCCGGCGACCCGGGTTCGGTTTCCCCTCAAAGCCAACACTAGTGACAAATATCTGAACTGGTCTTAGGCCTCCCCTAGGTCAACTCGGCCTCAAATGAGTACCTGGTGCGGTGTGTAAACATCGCCACTAGGGAGACAAAGGCAGGCTGGGCGTGGTGCTGGTCACCCGCCCCTTCGTGTGCCGTGCCGGCCTTCATAGATACTCGCTGACAGTGGGTGAGTGTATGAGTGGGAGCGTGTGGGTGGGCGAGTGTAATTGTGTCATGCTTTGATATCTCATTCAGACTAAAATTAAAGGTCTGGACTGGTTTTGTCCGAATATTCAAGTGGTGAAAAGCGGCCTGCATATTACTCAATCGGGAATACGCGCAAAAGCATCCCCCCACCCCCCCAAAAAACTCGACGATCCTGAACTAGAGTATGGAGACTCTGAGAGGTGAAGTAGTCAGCCAGGTGAAGACAAATTAAACTTAAGAGAATCAAAGCAAAGTCAGTCAGGCAAGGGCAGGAGGCAAGGCCTGCATGGCTCGGCCCCACGTAGTAACGTTCCAACCTGGACATCGATTCCATACTTGCCGCTACTCAATTGCTATCGCTACGAGAGAGAGAGAGGGAAGAAGCGAGGCTGTACCTGGGTAAACAACAACAACAACAACCAAATCACGATGTGAACTTCTCACCTCCGATCCGAGGGAGTTGTGCGCACAGAAGCAGCTCCTGGGATCTCGTGACGTCACACGGAAGCACGCAGCGGGAGAGATGACATGACGTCACTAGCACCCACACCGACTCCCCTCCAGTGAACGCGGATGTGCTTGAATAAATTATGGTAACGAGGCGTGCCCATATATGGAGTGATTGGGCGTGGCCGCAGAATTAATGGCTAAATTACGTTAATGAGCCGCCAGGGGTATTTGTTTTACTGCAGACTCAACATACAACGTCACCCCGGGCCTTTGAAGTTAAGGGAATAATAAAAGTATACACTAATTCGCTAAAATTGGTTCTGCTGAAACATAAGTTTTCAGTTTCATTTACTAGGTATAACCGCGTGAGCCATGTGGCTCTTGACTCGGGTGCAACCGCAACAAAACAAAAACATGAACAAGAAACACCTTAAAGTGACTACACGCAACAGAAAAATCGTGGAAAAAACAGCAAAGTCTTCTAGAAAAAACACCATATTTCAACGCTGTGTGCAAAAATCCCAGTGGGATGCAAGTCAAACAATAACAACCATAAGACAATGTAGATTACAGTTATCAGGCTAACTCTGTACTACAACAAACAAACACGGCTAAACCAAAACTTCACCAAAATAAACTCATAGGAACTGTGATTCAAATTTAACAATAAACGATATACATAACTTGTACGACCAAACTTTGCAGCCTTAGTTGGCTGCATGAGTCACTCCATAACAGCAGGAGTATCAGTAGCAAAATCAACATTTTTCAATATACCTTTAAAGATCAGCACACTATTATCAAAACTCAAGATCATACTTTGCAGCGGTCATCCGGAATGATACATATGATTTCAGACCATTCTGAATAGCAGTGGCAGCTACGGGTGTACAACTCCTCTAGAGCAGTTTTGAGTGAAGATCTCACAGGTAGTAATCCAAGTTGCAGTTTATTGGCGATAGCATTCCAGACCCTGGGGGCATCAATAGAAAAGGCCCTTCCTCCAGTATTTGTACGGCAATAAGGAATGTGAAGCTGGTGAATGAGAATTTGTTCTTCGAAACAGTGAGGAGATCCAGCAGTTAGTCTGCTGATTTTTTTTTATAAGTACATCGTGAATAAATAAGATCTGATGCACAATCCGTTGATCATTAAGAGAAGTTAAGTTTGACCCAATATAGAGATCGCAGTGGTGGGTCCTATACGGGCAGTTCAATGCAAATCTTAAGGCCGAGTGATACATTGAGTAAAGCTTCTTCAGTAGAGTACTGGTGTGCTGGTTTATATACGAGTTACATTGGGGAAACCAAACGACATGTCTCGGACCGCATCCGTGAACATAAAGCAGACCTGAAACACGGTAGGACAAACACCTCAGCCGTGGCAGATCACTGTTACAACTCAGTGGGCTCACATGACATTGAGTTCTCCAAGACAGAGGTTCTCTGCAAGCCATCTGGCTACCATGAGAGATTCGTTCATGAGGCGATCCACATATACAAACACAGAGACAATTTCAACCGAGAATATGTATTCTGGCTCAGCAATCATTGGAAGGACGTAATAAACCATTTCGGATCTTAACTGATTGTGTTCACGTTTACGGTGACTTTCAGCCCGCGTTCCACTCACTGGCATTGTATTCTCCGCAGGGAATGGATTCTTTGCTCCGCTGCACGTTTTCCCCCCACGACTCACCCATTGACACGACGGTCAATGGTACAGTGTATAATAACAAATAGTATAACATTTATATGCTTAATACAATGTACAAAGTAACATATAGTATCGTAATTGTATAGTAAACATATAGCAGTGTGATACACATTAGGGTGGGTAGAATAATACATAGTGTTATATTAAAATGTATAAGGTGGTTTATAGCAATACAGTATGTAATTGTGGGGTTTATCTATGGCAGTATATAGTACGGTGTATGCTCGTGTGATGTAAGAGAATAAAGTTTAGATGGAAGCATATTATATAATTTTTACGACGTAGAATTGCAATGTATTACTTGCTGTTAGTAACTCAGCTTATTGTAGAGTATAGTAAATATACTGATGATGCTATGCAGTTTATACTTTAATTTTTTACGTAGTTTACACTTTAGTTTTCTACGTGGTTGTTTAGTAACTGCAGCTACATACTATTAACATTCCTTTCCTTTGTTAATGCTACTCCCTGCACCCTCCCTTGGTGCTGCTGATCCTGCATAATGCATGGGCATAATATGACTTTGAAACCCCCCCGCCCACCTCCTACGCATTTTCCATGAATATGCTAAATTCCTCTTGATATGCACATTCTTTTGTTAAGGCGCTCCTCTTCCACCTCCTACCCAGCTTATATATAAGCTCCTAGCTTGGCAGTGTCTCATTCTTCACCTGAAGACGGCTGCTTGCGTTGTAGCCGAAACGTCGTGAGAATTATTTTATTTTATTATGTTTTATTTTTATTGTTTTATTACTTCCCTTCTACGTGACTTTACCGAAAGAACCAAGAAGATGTCACAGTAATAAAGTAGAGGCCGTATGGTAGCTTTTATCAATTCCAAGCAGAGCATATGGGGGGAGCAGTGCTTGTGTCGATACAGAAAAACATGTTTTTTTATTTTACCAATATGATCAATGTGATCTTGAAAATTCAGTTTTGAATGACAGTCGCGTCGGGAATAAACTCTAGCATAAAATACCGACCTTGCGTGGTTTCTGTGGGTGTGGAGAGAGCGTTGGGTGGTGTGAGTACGCGCATAAGTGTGGTGATCGGCGCGCATTCACTAATAAACGATCGTGGACGGTCGGTGCAGGTGTAGGGGTTATTACGGGAGAAACGGCGGACAACAAACACAGGGCTGTCGGCACTCACATACACGGGGGGTCACACCGACGTCCGCATCAGTTATTGCCCACGCCCCCAGCCCTCGGAGGCGATCCCTATAAAAGGTGGAACCCAAAGAGCTCGAGGCAGTTCGACACGAAGCTGACCAGTGAAGATCCAAGACTCGGAGATTAGGCCCTGGGACTCCCCGGTCTCGCCGTCCTTATAAGGGCCGAGCCGGGTAAGCCAGTGGCGCGGCCCAAGAGCTTCCAGACCGCTGCCCTTATCAGGGCAAGGCTGGTTAGCTGGTGCCGAGATCTGTGCTTGCCAGGGCCAGATCAGTCAGCCTCCCGTAGCCCAGTAGAGGAGGACTGGGGGACAGGACAGAGGGCTTAGTACTAGGGTGGGTTTCCCATAGTACGGGTGAAGGGGCCGATACCCCTTCAACTATTGTATCTGTCCCGGAGTTAATAAACAGTGTGTCTCAACTTCCTCATCGTCTCCTCATCAACTTACTACATCTGGTGTTGGAAGTGGGCCAAGCATGGATACGAGACGGAAGACTCGTGCCCAAGACCCAGGAGAGGATGACGACGAGGGAGGGGCAGTGCAAGACATCGCCGCCGACGTACCTGCACAACTGCTGCCGGCTCCGACATCGGCGGGGCCGTCGGAGAGGGCCGGGACGTCGACTGACGAGTTGGCGTTGGCTCACTCGCGGCTGGCGGAGCTCTTGTATGCAGCGGCCGCTATGCTGGAACAAATAACTCGCCTGGGGCCGGGAGGAGCGACGCGGCGGGAAGATGGACAACGCCCGCCAGAAACTCCCGCCTTTACAACAGCGGGGCGACTCGAAAATCCCGCCACGAAGACAGTAGGGGCGGAGGGAGGAGTCCCAGCTCGTCACGCGGGAGACGGTGCCCAGCCAGCAGCCGCCACGTCATCGGCGGAGGCGGGTCGCGGTGGCAGCCTATCAGGGGTTGAAACGTCACCACCAGCTGACGCCAGCACCGACCATACAGTACGGGGACGCGCTACGGATGCTGCAAGAGACGCTCCAAGAGGATCGGAGACGGAGCCGACATTCCAGCAACGCCTGCCGGCCCTGCAGGTATTTGTTGCAAGCGACGGCGATTGGGGGGGGTTCCAGCGCCGGTTCTTGGCCCACCAAGAGATGGCAGGCTGGTCGGACAACGAGGCGCTGTGTGCTCTCCCGGCGTTATTGGACGGCGACGCCCTGGGCACCCTCACTGCTGCACCCAAGTCGGCACGCTCCACCATTCAGTCGGCGCTGCAGCTGCTGGCCACCGTTTATGGGCCGCCCTCCGATTGTCGCCAGCTCTTCTATGAACGGCAGAAGGGTGATAAGGAATCGCCACTCGCTTATCGCACGGCCCTGCTGTCATTGGCGAAAGACGCTTTCCCGCGTATGGATGAAGAGGGGATCGATGCGATGGTGGCCGAGAAAATTTTGCTGCTGGCTGACGATCTGGACTTCACCATCTTAGCGCAGGACGATGCGGATATGTCATCACTGCGGGCTGCAAGGCACATTCACGCCAATCTCATCTCCCAGCGGAGGAAGGCGAACAAAGCTGCTGCACGACACACCGTGGCGGCAACCTCTTCTGGAATGGAGGGAGCCTTCGCTGCGGATCGTTCTGCAGGATGGCGATCTGCCGAGCGACCGGCTCGGGACGTTCCAAGCCACCGAGACCAGCCCAAGTCCTCTGGAACGCTCGTCGTCTGCTATAATTGTGGCCTCCGGGGCCACGTGGCGTCCGGATGCCGGGCTCCTCGACAGCGCGGTGCGAGACCTGGAGCTGCGGACGGCCCTCCTCACAAGCCTTCGCAACATCCTCGGGCAAGTCATGGCACCCCACATGTTCGGCCTGCACACACACCCACTTTCCTATCACATGGTCCGATACACAATTCTCGGGGGTTGGGTGCTGGTGCGTCGGGTCGCGGCATGTCGGGGAGGGCGCTCCAACCGGGCCAATGGTCCGAGTTGGCTCACCGAGTTGTGGCTGCATCAGCGGGGTCGTCCGTTGTCGCGGGGCATATTGACGGGGTGGAGGTACGGCTATTGGTCGATACGGGAGCTTCGGCAACTATCATTTCAGATTTGATTTATAATATCCTGCCCGTTCAGAGTCGCCCGTTGCTCCCTGTCGATATACCGTTTTACGCTGCGAATGGGGGCTCGTTGGGTATTATCGGTCAAATTCGAGCGCAAA